CTGCGGTGGAGCTCCCCATGGGGCAACGAAACGTGTGGTGATCTTACTGATGTTGATGTTGATGATGATGATGATGATGACGACCATGATGACGATAATGATGATGATGACGATGATGGTGATTCTCCCCACACCTTCAGCGATGACAGCGTCGACACTGCGAGCTCAAGTTGTTGCTTCATCTCGTCGCGCATTCGGCTCGCCCTGTCCAGAGCAGCACGATGCTTCCTGCGGACTTCTCTGTTCCCGCGAAGGGCAGCCATGTCAACGGAAAGGGCCTCCATGCGATCGCCCAGCGTAGCCAGTTTTGACCGCAAGGCAACAATATTGCGAAATAGTAAATTCTTGGCCTCAACAGGATTCGAAATCTCACGACCACCTGAAGGCTCACGACCATCTGGGAGCTCACGATCATCAGGGAGCACCCGACCATCTGGAAGAGCCTGGCCGTCGAATTGACCTGCGCTAGACATCGCACGGCTAAGAAAAGAAGGAACCTCTGATAGTACAACATCGTCGCCGTCATCTCCACGCGCTTTCTTGCGAGGAGGAGAGGCCGGCAGGAGATCGACACGAAGGTCGTCTGCGCGAAGATGGCCTGCACGAAGATCTGCACGAAGGTCTTCTCCAGGAAGGTCATCTCCAGGAAGGTCGTCTGCGCAAAGGTCATCTCCAGGAAGGTCGTCAGCACGACGATCTGCGCGAAGGTCGTCCGCAAGGAGATCCGCGCGAAGATCTGCGCGAAGGTCTTCACCAGGAAGGTCGCCTGCACCTCCAGGAGGGTCGTCTGCACTAAGGACGCCTGCGCCCGCAGGAAGGTCGTCAGCACGAAGATCAGCACAAAGACCTGCACGAAGATCTGCGCCTCCAGGAAGGTCGAAAGCACGAAGGTCGTCTGCACGAAGATCTGCACGAAGGTCGTCTGCACGAAGATCTGCACGAAGGTCTTTCCCAGGAAGGTCGTCAGCACCTCCAGGAAGGACTTCTGCACGAAGGTCGTCTGCACCTCTAAGAAGGTCGTCAGCACGAAGATCTGCACGAAGGTCTTCTGCAAGGAGGTCGACTGCACCTCCAGGAAGGTCGTCTGCGCGAAGGTCGGCACCGGCCCCCCCCTGACGATCGTCTCCGTGAGCACCCGCATGAACTGCGCCTCCAGGAAGGACGCCCGCACGAGGGTCGTCTGCACGAAGATCTGCACGAAGGTCGTCTGCACGAAGGTCTGCACGAAGATCTGCACGTAGGTCGTCTCCAGGAAGGTCGTCTGCACCTCCGAAGGTCGCCTGCATCTCCAGGAAGGTCGTCTGCGCGAAGATCTGCACGAAGGCCGTCTGCACGAAGGTCGTCTGCGCCTCCAGGAAGGTCGTCTGCGCAAAAGTCAGCACCAGCACCTCCATGACGGTTGTCTTGAGCCCCTTTGGACCCGCACACCTTCAGCGATGACAGCGTTGACACTGCGAGCTCAAGTCGTTGCTTCACCTCGTCGCGCATCCGGCTCGCCATGTCCAGGGCAGGACGATGCTTCCTGCGGACTTCTCTGCTCCCGCGAACGGCAGCCATGTCAACGGAAAGGGCCTCTATGCTATCGTCCAGCGTGGCCAGTTGTGACCGCAAGGCAACAATATTGCGAAATAGTGAATTCTTGGCCACGACAAAATTCGAGGTCTCACGACCACCTGAAAGCTCACGACCATCAGGGAGCTCACGATCATCAGGAAGCACCCGACCATCTGGAGGAGCCTGGCCGTCAGAAGGCTCACGACCAGCAGGAAGCTCATTGCCAACTTGAACAGTTCGATCAGCACCAGAATGGAATTCCTGCTCATGGGGAAGCTCACGACCATCAGGAAGCGCACGACCAGAGTCGCGAGGCTCACGACCAGCAGGAAGCTCACATCATGTAGCTCACGACCGACAGGACGCCCACGACCATCAGGAAACCCAAGAAGCTCACGACCCTCAGGAAGCTCACGACCGTCAGGGGGCTCACGAACATCAGGAAGCACACGACAATCAGGAAGCTCACGACCATCAGGGGGCACGAGAAGCCCAAGCCCCTTGCGATGCTCCGAACCGCCAAACCACGGAAGAGCATCCAGGACGCGTTCCAAGGGTACCCACAAAGCAGGAACACCAGTAGGCCAATGCCACAGGCCATCATGAACAGCTGGAGCATCACGTACAGCAGGAAGTTCGCGACCATCATGAGCGCCACAACCATCAGGAAGCCCACGTACATAAGGAAGCGCTCGGCAATCAGGAACCTGATCGTGACCACCAGGCATTCCGCCCAACTCCTGAAGCAGAAGATCAGCACGTACATGAGGACCAGCACGAACGGGACCAGCATGCACAGGAAGATCCGCACATACGAGATCAGCACGTTCAGGATCAGGACGAGCAGGATCTGCATGTACATGAAGGCCTGCACGTACAGGAAGATCAGCACGTACAGGGTCAGCACGTCCAAGAAGATCAGCACGAGCAGGGATATCGACATCAGGATCCGCACGCACGGGAAGATCGATATCAAGATCTGCACGTACAGGTAGATCAGCTTCAGCAGCACGTACATAATCAGCGCATACAGGAAGATCAGCACGCGCCTGGGGATCGACATCAGGATCCGCACGATCGTGAGGACCGACCTCAGGATCAGCACGTACAGGTAGATCAGCACTCGCACGAGCCTCCGAAGCGTGAAGAAGATCCGCACAAGCCACAGCATGGAGAGGCGCTTCGCGAACAGCTTCGTCATGGAAAGGCTCAGGGCGAACACCTCCAGCACACAGCGCAGGGAACGATGGAACCGAAGGGAGGCCACGGGTCCTAGGCTTCTTGGGCACCGCCGCCGCCGCAGCCCAAGGGTCAGCAACTCCACGACCGTGCCAAGGATCAGGAGCCAGCCGAGGCGCATCACGATGCCGACGACCAAGGGGACGGCCACCGCGTCCAGGATCATCACCGCCGTCATGGCCACCCGGATCTTCACCAGCAGGTTGATCGAAAGCACGAATAGGAGGAGCGCGCTTCATGGAAACCGATATGTGGGACGCGCCTGTCGACGAGGAGTGCCCATGATCGACCACAACGGCGTCCTGCAGTGAGTGGAGCATGAGCTGGACGAGGCGGTTCGCAAAGCTGTTGAGCATGGTGGGGTCCCAGATCGGCAGGAGGACGAAGTTGAAGGTCACGCGGTCGGAGTACGAGTTGAGGCGAGCACGAACCTGCCTACCTTGAGCGAGTTGGTCGGCAAGCCACCTCAGACGAGCAGCGCAGACCATCCCAGCGAGGCGGAGACGCAGCGGGGGGCGCACGGGCACCCGATGGCCCTTGACTCAGCACATGCTTGGGACAAAATGGCTATGATGACGACGATGATGGTGATGATGATGATGATGATGATGATGATGATGATGGTGATGGTGATGGTGATGGTGATGGTGATGGTGATGATGATGATGCTGATGATGCTGATGCTGATGCTGATGCTGATGCTGATGCTGATGCTGATGCTGATGCTGATGCTGATGCTGATGCTGATGCTGATGATGATGATGATGATGATGATGATGATGATGATGATGATGATGATGATGATGATGATGATGATGATGAGAGGAGGGGAGGAGGGAGGAGGAAGGAGGAAACGCGGGGCGCTGTCTCTTCAAAACGAGGACCCAACACCACAGCATGGCTGGGAAAAATAAGAATAGGAATATGTATCGGAGGTTGGGGGGTGAGAATGGGTCAGATCGCAATGGAACGGAGAACCCCCCACCGGGAAATTGTTTTCGGCTCCGTGTTCGTGCCGTGCGTGCGGGCGAGGCGAAGCTGCGTGGGCGCACGAGTGGAATGATGCCGCCGTGGCTAGGGGCTGTGGAGCCGGTTGTCCGCCCCTCCCCCCCCCTCCGGCGCGCGGTGGCCGGGAGTATTCCGTCGATGGCGCGTCGGTGTCCCGACGGTGGCGCGGGATGCCCCGTCGGTGGCGCGGGGTGTCCCGACGGTGGCTCCGGGTGTCCCGCCGTGGTGTCTCGGTGGTAGCTCGTGAGATCAGTTGTAAGATCGAAAGTGAGATCGATAGTGAGCTCGATTGCGTGATCGATTGAAATCGTGAGATCGACCGTGAGTTCGAGAGATCGATAGTGAGATCGATACTAAGATCGATAGCGAGATCGATCACAACAACATTTGGCTGGGGGTGCCTCGCCGTGGCTGGGGGTGCCCCATCGTGGTGTCCCGATGGTGTCTCGTGAGATCTCTTGTGAGATCGATCTTGGGATCTCCTTCTACCACGTGCCTGCAACGGTCCTTGTACCTTGGGGCACCGTTCCGAGGGTGGCTGAGCCCTTGTGCCCCATCCGACTTTACAGGGCTATGCCAACCCTCAAGTGCATCAGCGCTACACTACAATCCTCATCCTCTTCCTCATTCTCCTCCTCCTCTCCTCCCCCTCCTCCTCCTCCTCCTCCTCCTCCTGGTCCTCCTCCTCCTCCTCCTCTTCCTCCTCCTGCTGCTCCTGCTCCTGCTCCTGCTCCTGCTCCTGCTCCTCCCTCCTCCTCATCCTCCTCCTCTCCTCCTCCCCTCCTCCTCCTCCTCCTCCTCTCCTCCTCCCCTCCTCCTGCTCCTTCTCCTCCTCCGCCGCCTCTTCTTCCTCTCCTCCTCCCTCCTCCTCCTCCTCCTCCTCCTCCTCTTCCTCGTCCTCGTCCTCGTCCTCCTCCTCCTCGTCCTCCTCCTCATCCTCCTCCTTCTCCTTCCCCTCCTCCCCCCTCCTCCCCTCCTCTCCTCCTCCTCTCCTCCTCCTCCTCCTCCTCCTCCTGCTCCTCCTCCTCCTCCTCCTCCTCCTCGTCCTGGTTGTCCTCCTCCCACTCCTCCTCCTCCTCCTCCTCCTCCTCCTCCTCCTCCTCCTTCTCCTCCTTCTCCTCCTCACCATCATCCACCCTGGATCCGTTCTCATCCTGGCACCCTCGTCCTCCCTCCCCTCAAGGCACCCGCTTCGTGTCCTTCTTCTTTCAGCTTTTTCAAGATCGTCGGGTCCGGGCCTTTGCCCAGCATCATCGTCAGGTCGCCCCTGCCGTCCTTTCGGCGGAGGGAGAGATCGGGAAGGGTGGAGAGGAGGAGGAGCAGGAGGAGGAAGAGGAGAAGGAGGAGGAGGAGGGGGAGGATGAGGAGGGGGAGGAGGAGGAAGAGAGGAGGAGGAGGAGGAGGAGAGGAGGAGGGAGGGGGAGGAGGGCGGGTTGATTTGGGCGCTCCCCGAAGCGGTCTCTGAACCCCCGTAAGGTACTCTGAAAGCTAGCGTTCAGGCACTCTGCTCTTGCCACCTAAGTAAGGGGGAGGAGGGGGAGGAGGAGGAGGAGGAGGAGGAGGAGGAGGAGGAGGAGGAGGAGGAGGAGGAGGAGGCGGAGCGTCCTCAGGAAAGTCTGAACTCCTTACCTAGCCACCCTACGGGCCCTTCGGGCCGAGATGCCTCCAGCAGGGAGGTCCACAGCTTGACGCGCACCCCTGGCGATCGAGCGGGCGACAGAGGCAGGGACCGCCCCGCTGGTGCTCTCGCGCTTCTCGAGATGGAGAAGGCGGTGCAAATGGAACATCAACGCCACCCCTCGAGTCGAATCCAGCGAGGGGACGACGAGGGCAAGGGCAGAGAGCGGATCACTGGGCAACGGACGACCAAGGGCCACCCGAACCAGCTCACGAAAGTGTCAACACCAGAAATAGTGCTTCAGGCTATCAGGAGCATCACAACCCAGGCAGCATCTACGGTCTCGATTCTGGAGACGGGTGTCTGTGACCCATCCCCCGAGCCAAGTCTTGATGCATGCGCACCTCCAGCTCGGGGGCGCACGCATCAGGACCTGCTCTTCGTCGTGCCACACTACAGCCGCAGCCTCCAGGGGGGGCACTCCGAACAATTTGGGGAGCCTCTCCGAGATAAGGCCCCGCAGATTCCCATCCCTGGAGGCCCGCAGGCCCACTAAAAGTTCACGCTGTAGACGTCTCCTCCGCCCATCCTCCCACCGCCCCGCCCCACCTTGGCTAGGGGAAAGGGGAGGGGGAGCGCCGCTCTTTTCGAGCAGCTCGCGCCCCGCCGCCTCCGCACGCGCCGGCGCGACAGCGGGGGCGGGCGCCTCCCACCAGGAAGGCCAGGGCTGGCCTGACGTGCACCGCACCAGCGGCAGCCTGCGGGAGGCCACCTCACTCAGGTGCGCAGCGGCCCGCCGCCAAGTCTCAAGCGTCGAGAGGGCCGAGCGCATGAGGGGCGCCTCCAGGAGGTCCGACGCTGGCGCACATCTTGGGCCCCCCAGCGCCTCCAGATCGTAGAACGCGTTCTTCTTGAACAGGCTTCCCGAGCACCTCGCGAGCCGGCACAGCAGGAAGCGCTCATCATCAATCAGCTCCGTCGGCATCGGCCAGAGCTGCGCCTTGTAGGCCAGGACGGGCTGGCACCGACGGCTGCGCTCAAAGAAGGCGGCCGTCATGTCCAGTGGCGAAGCAGCGAGTGCCAGGACCCGCTCACGCAGGCGCGCGAGTGGCGCAGCCCACTGGGCCGCCAGCGATGCACCAGGGCCCACCAAACACCCCGGCAGCTCCACCGACGAGGCCACGGTGAAGGAGCCCCACCCGCAGGCCTCGCCCAGACACTTCCTCATCGCGTCCTCCACCTCCGCCGAGAACGGGGCCCAGAGCGGGGCGGCCGCGCACTTCTTGGGCTGGGGCTGGAGGCCAGCGAGGCGCTCCGCGAGGCGGAAGATCCTCGCCAGAGTGCGTAGCCCCCGCCTGCAGTAGATCAGGGCCTGGATGTCATCAGCACACCAGCGGGTCATGCCAAGAGCCTTGGCCTCCAGCTGCTGCGAGTGCGCCTCCACGAACGGCTGCGCTCCGATCACGAACATCTTCCCGGGAGCGGGTCACCCTGCAAGATCCCGCACAAGATGACAAAGAGGACCCAGTGGCAGGGCCCCGCCTCCACGACCTCGACGTTGGCGTAGGACTTCTTCAGCAGGAGCTCCAGGCCGAGCGGCACCGCCCGCGCCTCCAGAACCCGCCACATCCAGTCGTGGAGGAGCGACGGGAAGGCGTGAGTGAAGTCGAAGCTCAGGAGGGTCGGCTCCTCCCAGCCACGAGCTTGCTCCAGCGCGCACATGGAAGCGACGCGGGACACGGCGTCAAGCTCCACCAGGTTGTCCAGGAAGTTCCGCCCCGTGATGAAGCCACGCTGCGCCTTTGAGGCGCCACGGTCTATCATGCTCTTCAACCTGAAGTTCACCGCGGAGGCGATGGCCTTGGGGCCCGTGGAGCGCAGCATGAGTGGACGAGTCTCGTTCGGCTTCCTGATAACCTCCATGCCGTCACCATCCAGCACCTTCTTCGGCGGGAAGATGGCGATGCTCATGTTGAACTCCCTACGCATGGGGCGGCCCAGTGTCATCCATCTAATAGCCGCAAGGAGCACCTCACAGCCCGCCGCGTGCATCAGCCACGCCCGCGCAGGCAGGCCATCAACCCCAGGTGCGGCAGGCCGCGCTCGCCGCAGAGCCCCCTCGATGTGGATGGCCGAGGGAGGCGCCAGAGAGCTCCAGTCAACCTCCTTCATGCCGTACTTCGCGATGCAGGCCTTGGAGTCACGCTCACGTCGGCAGCGCTCCGAGGCGTCGCTCTCCGCTGCCAGGCACGCTGCACGTGCAGGGGGGCAGAAGACCTCGCCCCAGTGGTTCGCCAGCGCCTCGTGGATCTCGGCGGGCGAGGTGAGCAGCCTGCCGTCAGGGGCTTCCGCAGCCGCAAGATGCCGCCGCGGGAGAACCGACCAGAGAGCAGCACGACGTTCCAGGGCACGGCGCTGACCAAGGAGCCGACGGCGATCAGAAACTCGAAGTTGCTCTTCATCGGCTTCAAGCTCTGCCTGGAGCGCGGCACGCCTGGCCCTGGCCACGCGCCGCTGCGCCAGGACGAAGCGTCTGAGGAACTCCGCATGGTCCTTCAGCATCACCACGCCCTTCATCACATCAACAGTCATCAGCTCATCCAGCTAAGAGTGGCGAACGAGGAGCCTCTCCGCCAACGAGACGTGTTGGCGCGCCACCACCCTTGCCACTTGTCTGAAGATCAGCGCCGCGCACCGCTTCGACCATGCCATGCCCTGCAGCTGCGCGTCCCGAGTCTCGGCCGCAGCCGCCTGCATGGCTCGCACGTACACCTGGTACATGTCGGGCGGGGCGCGCGACGACAGGTCCAGCACCTCCACATACTGGGCCAGCTTTTCCTTGAACATGGGGGAGTTCACGATGTCCTGGGGGATCGGGGCAGGCCTGAGCGGACCTCGAGGACGCAGAGGGCGCCACATCCATGAGATCAGGACAGGCGCGCGGTCGCTGATGCCCCTCCTGTGCAGCTCCTCAGGCTCACCAAGTACCTCGCATTGCTGGTAACGTTCGGCCACCAGCCAGGGCGGAACGCCCAGGAAGACCCGATCGATCCTGGTCTCAAGCTGGCGGCCAGCATGCCAGTGGGTCGCGCACGGTGCCACCATCTCCACAGCATCACTCAAGCAGCGCTGCCAACGCTGCTCTTGCGGGTGCCGAGCTGCAGCAACAGAACGGGGAGGAGCGTCATCGCCAAAATGGCAGTGCTCCAGCCTGTCGCCGAAATTGAAGTCACCCACAACAAGTACAGCCGCCTTGACGGGGTCCAGCTTGGCCTCGAGGAGGTCGGCCGAGATCTTTGCCTGGACCCGTCGTGGCAATCCGCAGTCCAGGCCATGGTTGTGAATGTTCCAGTGTGTACGCGTGCATGGCCTCCCCATGTCATCACTGAACTTGGCACGGATACGCATAACCCTGCCAGGCACCAGTATTGACGATTCCCACACCACGCTCTCGTCATCATCAGCCCTACGCATAGGGAAAAGAGTGGCCAGCCCTCCAGCATCTTCACGTTCTCCCTCACAGAACGAGGTAAATACACGGGCACGTATACCCACATGTTTGAGCAGCTCAGTCAAGCGGATGTGCGAGCCATGCACCTCCTGCAGTCCCAAGATGACAGAGTCGCGCTTCCAAAACTTGGCAAGGAACTTCGCCCTCGCCTTCGCCGTAGCAGGCTTGAAGTGGCACAGTGCCCTAGCATTCCGCGTGGCGGACGTGAGCACGAAGTCAGCCGCAACAGCACGCGGACCGACAGGATCAGCATGCCCGAGTCCCAGACCAGCTCCCGCATCACCCCCATCTCCGTCTCGACATAGCCCTCCCCCAGCCTCCGCGGTGCCCTCGTCCCTCCGCCGTCGACCCCAGCGAGCCGCGGCCTTGTCAAAGGCACCACTCCGCCGTCGACGGGGCCAGGATGGGCGCCACAATCTGCTCCAGCTGCTCACGAGGAAGTTGGCGTCGGCGAAGGACGGCGGCGTTCCACTGGACAACCGGTGGGGAGCCTGGGCCCTCGATCGCGATCTTGACCAGGGGCTACCACGCCATGGAGAGGGTTCCCTCCATCTGGTCAGGGCCAACAGGGTCGACGACGATGCGCTTCGAGAGACCCTCCTCGAGCACCCGACGCATCTTCTTGAGTGTGATATCGTAGGACACCTGGCGCGAGTTCTTGTCCTTGCTGAGGGACAGCGGCGTCGAGTGGCCAGTCGGAGTCGAGGCTGCGACTTGACGCCAGGTGCCACCAGGACCTCCACCTCGAAGTGTTGACACCAGCTTGCGCACCCTGCGCTCTGCCAGTCCCACATCACCCTCCATCCTGACCACGAAGCGCTGGCCCAAGTCTTCGCCCTCGACCTTCGAGACCTCCGTGAGCTGCGCGTCCGCCAGCACAAGCGCCATGGCGCGCTCCACCGCCGCACGCATGAGCGGGGCCTTGCAGGTGACGACCATGACCGCGCGGTCAATCGCCCTGCTCCAGGCAGGCCCTGTCTCAGGCGGGGGTGGCACGCCAGCAGCGACCACTCCGAGCTCCCGCTGGAGCTGCGCCAGGTCAGCCGAGTGCTTCGCCATGATTTTGTCCGTCTCCTTCTGCCTCCTACGCATCTCGTCCTCGAGCCTCTTGATGTCCTCCTCCTGCTGCTGCTGAATGCGCTCGACCTTCCCCTGCCTGCTCTCAAGGAGCGCCGTGCGGCGCTCCAGAGCCCGCTGGATGCCGTCGAGGCTCTTGTCCATGTTCTGCAGGAGGCGCTCCTGGCTGGAGCGCACCTCGGCGAAGAGCGATTCCCGCAAGTGGGCGATGGCCGCCGCAGCCTCGGGTGGCGCGCCGTCCAGCCCAGCAGGGTCCTCCCCCAGGACGGGCGTGGCCATGCCGCCCACAGGAGAGCAGGGGGCCACCCGCTGTGCGCCATGCCCCGCGGGAGCAGCACCGAGGCCAGCAGCAGCAGCCGCCCACGGGTCGTGCGGGGCCGCCGGGGGCTGCGAGGGGAGCGTGGGGCAGGCAGCCTCCGCCTCCAGGAAGGCCGCCTCCTCCGCCTTGAGCGCAGCCAGGGCCGCCCTCTTGGCTTCCTCACGCTCAGCCTCCACATCTCGAGCACGGTCGCGGGACAGGCGCCCGCTGCGCCTGCGGCGGCGCCGCTCCCCGCTCCTGGACTTCTCACGGGAAGACGAGGAGGAGCCGCCAGAGGAGGGCGCACGGCCAGCAGCACCAGCAACACAGCCATCGCCCACATGCGCACCATCCCGCGCAGGGCCCATGGCTTCGAAGCTGGTAGCGATCGGGCCGACAGGAACGGGAAAGGCCTCCGTTTACCCACCGACCCGAGCGCTGGTGAGGTGGGCCCGAGATGACGCCAGACTTCAGGAAGTCTTGCCAGCCGCGGACTAGCGGTATCCGCTTGGCTCCCTGGGGAAACCTGCATCTTGAGCCAAAATGGCTACGGAGGAGGAGGAGGAGGAGGAGGAGGAGGAGGAGGAGGGGGGAGGAGAGGAGAGAAGAAGGAGGGGGAGGAGGAGGAGGAGGAGGAGGAGGAGGAGGAGGAGGAGGAGGAGGAGGAGGGGGAGGAGGAGGGGGAGGAGGAGGAGGAGGAGGATGAGAAGGACGAGGAAGGGGAGGAGGGGGAGGAGGGGGAGGAGGAGGAGGAGGAAGAGGAGGAGGAGGAGCAGGAGGAGGATGAGAAGGACGAGGAGGACGAGGAGGACGAGGAGGACGAGAAGGACGAGGAGGAGGGAGGATGAGAAGGAGGAAGAAAAATAATATGAAACCCGATGGCGGATAATATGCAGCGCGGATTAACTGCGCAATTGGGACATAGTGGCGCGTCACCAGCGGCGCGCATCGTCATCACCAGTCACGCTCATCATAAACGGCATCATCACCATCATCGCCAACAACATCATCAGCAGGATCACAGCCAACATCGTTATCGTCACGCTACGCGCCGCGCATCATCGCAATCACAATCCCGTCGTGCTTGTAACGTATGGCCGGGGGCATACATGAACGCATGGACCTGCAAGCGGGGATAAGAGAAAGAGGAGGCCGTGTGGAATGAGACGGAGAATACGAAGAGAGACGCCGAAGGTAAACTCGCCCAGGGGAGAGTCAAGCAGCACCTGGCAAACTTACGTCCTTAGGTCCCTTGAATTGATCAGGACACCCTCCGAAAGAGGAGGGAGGAGGAGCCAAGGCACCGCTGAGGTGATTCCAGTAGCCTTCCAGCTGTGCCCACGCGCGCCCCGCTGCCACCCGCACGGCTCTGGCATTCTTGGTTAGCTGGTCGGCGCTGGCAGCATCGCAATCCTTGATATCGTGGTCCGCCACCGTGCCTCGGGTCGTGTCCTCAGGTCCTTTGCCCAATCCTCTGATCCTCAATCCTCACTCCTGGAAATCTTTGAGAGGCCCGGAGCCCAAATTGCCAAGTCTCTTGGGGCTTGGCGCGTCTTCTCGCACGACTTTTCGGAGCGCTCCGAAGCGAGCCGCAGAAGCATCCCTGAGAACTTTGACCCACAATCCACGCACGGTGGCGGGGTGGGCCGAAGGCCACTACATAGAAGGTGTAAGTCATGCGCATGGCCACGCGCAAAAGCCACAGGTACTCGTCAGAACACTGTTGTCCGGCGCAGGACGCCCGATGTTCGCGAGGAGCAAGGGGTCCATGAAACGATTGTCGCCGATCTGGAGCTGCCGCGCGAAGTGTGGGCACCAGAGGAGGTAAGGCTGCTGGTTGTTAGGGCGCCCGCGACACCCGAGAATGCACGAGCGCTTATAGAGGAAGAAAAAACAACAGAAAGTTGTGGAGGTCCGCGGTTTCTTGGGGATCTGCACAATTCCAGGAAATCCGCGCGGAGCGCCGAACGTTTATGGTTATGCAATTGTTTCCTATTCGATGGCCCCAACACGTGTGTCTGAACCTGCGTAGCTTAGCTCCCAGCCAATGTCTCGGATCGGCCAGCTGGACTCCCCTGCTGCCAGAGGATGCCGCGAGGTCGCCTCCATCGCTCAGGACGCTGGACGCTGGGTGTCCACGAAAGAGCTCCACGGGTGAGCTGCGGCGGGGGGTGTGCAGGACGGAAATCCGCCTGCAGACCAAGAGGGCCCGCTGACTGGCCATGAGGCATCGCCTCACTTAAGAAAATGACAGACTCGACACACGAAGCGACGGGGAGCTGTGGGGACGCTGGAAGTCCCTTCTGCTGATACAACCACCACTTCAGGCTAGAGTCAGACCTAGGACAGGAGACCATCCTTCATGAACAAGAAACCCTCCTTCGGCCACAACAAACAAAACATCCAAGGGTACCACCCCAGGATACACAAGACATGCAGACAATAGGGCACCCTCCCCGAACCGACCTTGATCTTATCTGTTCCCTCATACCCCCCCCCCCTCCCCTCATGCACGGCGCGCGCGGTGCGCTCCTGGGCGGCGAACTTCAAGAACCTGTGGCCCCGTACGCCTGCCTTATAGCGGATTCAGGAAGCCCTGAGCCCCAAAACGCTTTCGTCTCTTGGGGGCACATATTTTCCTTCCGCCGCCTTCCGCCGAGCTTCCTTTTTACCAGCGCAACACCCTAGGAAAATCAATCGGATGTCTAGCGTCGGGCCCGTCTCAAAACCAACCGTGTACACGGCGCAACCTCAAAAATGCAAAGCACCACGAGGTAGAGGGCCAGAGGAGTGAGCACGTGGCTTCCGCTGGCTTCCGCTGGCTTCCGCCGGCGGAGGCGGCCTCGGCACGGGCCAGGCTCCTGCCGTGCCGACTTCGGCGCCAGCTTCTGACACCGCGGGGACCATTCAGCCTTGCACGATCGGCCGTTTCCAAAGACGAAGACGACGATGATGAAGAAGACAACGACGACGCCGAAGACGACGACGACGTAGAAGGCGACGACGAAGAAGACGACGACCACGAAGACGACGACGAGGAGCACGACGACGACGACGACGACAACGACGACGACGAAGATGACGACGACGACGACGACGACGAGGACCACGCCAGCGGCGTTCAACGTTGAACGCCGGCGGCGGGGTCGGCACGACGCAAACCTGCCGCGGGCACGCCCCACCACGCGCGATTCTGAATGTCTGAACTCGCATGATCCAGAGCTCTCGGGCCTGGCCGCGAACGCTCGCGGCAGCGCGGGCGTGGGACTGCCAAGCTCGCGGACCCGACCTCGTGGGCCTCCACCCTCGACCAAGCACTGTACGTGTACCACCGCCTGCGGGTGGATCCCGAAGTCGGGCGACCCTTGCGCGGAGCTGCTGCCACCCACCCTGCAGGAGGAGTCCAGCACGTCCTGCCAGCCCCGCGACCGCGCCGGCGGCGGCGCGGTGGGCCGCGGCGCGCAGCGGGCGCCGCGGTGGAGGCCGGCGAGGCGCCGGTCGGCCACGCCTGCAGCGGGCGCGCCGAAGAGAAGGGGGTCGGGAAGGCTGGGAGTAGCGCAGCTTGGCCCGAGGCACGCATGCGCGCGGACAGGGAAGAAGCCAGGCGGCGCGGCGAAGGGAGGACAGGGGCGCCAGGGCATGCGGGAAGCATCGTGGCGCCAGCCACGAAAGTCCCCTCCTTGTCCTGACCCCCCCTCCTCGGACGCCCCCGACCTCATGCGGCTGGGGCCCCAGTCGCAGCGCGCCTCCGCGCCCCGCCAATCCAGCGGGAGCCCTTCGCGGTGCGGACCTAGCTGTGGGCGCTGATGGTCGCGATGCCCGCGCTCTTCGCGGGACTCGCGATGCGCAGGAAAGGCGTGCGGCCAGCGGCCACCTCGCGGAGGTCGAGGCTGAGCTGCTCGGCTGCAGGAAGACTTCGAAGCTGATTAGTGGATGCGGACGGTGCCAGCATAGCCGCGCCGCCAGCGGCCCGGGAGAGGCAGGGGGAGAGGAAGGCCCTGCAGTTCTGCGGCATGCGGACCTCGCGAGGGTGAGTTTACTGCGCACCGCGGGACGCCTGCAATGGAAGGCGTGCTTTCGGCTGCATGCACTTCTGGAGGAACTGCTGCGCTGCGTGGGCGACCAGCAGAAGAGGCCCCGCGGATTCCAATGAGCGTTCAACAACGGATTCCCCTCCCTCTTCCACGCGAAAAAAGCACGCCTACCAGGCCCAGGGGCATTGACACACAAACTCCGAACAGCACGACAGCGCCCCGTTCTTTCCAACGGCATGCGGAACTCTGAGGAACTCGAGTCCTACCAGGCCGACTTCCGCGATCGAACCCGCTGATTCTGCTGGCGAGGGAGGAAGGAGAATAGGGGAGGATGACCAGGGTATGGAGAAGTGGCATGCCCTCTTCAGACACCGAACTTTGTCACAAGGCTCCGATCTGGCTTTCCGCAGCACGCACAAAAAAAACCAAAACCCAACGGCGACAAAGCATCGGCTGGTCATCAATGAACGGGACGCGCCGGCTGAAATTGACACGGAATGTGTGCCGGTCGCGCGCTCGAGCTGAAACCGTGTGACCCCGAGGGGTTGAGGACAAGCCACGGCGTGCGTGCAGGTGAAGAGCACGAGGAGGACATGCAAACCTGCCACAAGCGAGGCACCCACTTCATGCATTCCACCTGCTTGCTGTGCCACAGCGTCTTCGCGCCCAGCACCCATATCCAATCCACTCGCTCCCCACTGCCAGGCAGCACGAGAAGTCCTTCGTGACCCACGGCACGCCCCTGTCGACCCCAGGCACCTTCGCTTCTTGGGCGAGATCCTCCGCGCACCCGGTACCCCACACCCAGCAGCCTGGCCGGGTGTTGACAGAGGTTCTCCTGGCCCAGTGTGTGCCCAGCTTTTCGCGCCAACCTGGAGCTCGTTGACCGCTCCAGGCCTCGTGAGGGGTGCTCTGGAGGCCATCTGGGCCTTCCTGGAAAAACTTGGGCCCACCTTGGGTCGGATCCACCTGGCAACACCATAGCTCCTTTAGTCCGAAACATGCGGCCCCTTCCCTGTGGCCAGTACCTCGTCTCGAATGATTTTGCCATGGTGGCCCCAGGGCCAGTAACCGAGCCCGAGAGGGCCAAAACGGCGAACATCCAGCCGCCAAGATTTGTTCGAGCTGCAGGATGGTTTGGCTTCTCCACATCAGCGGCAGAACGACACATGAGCAAACGGACCACACAGAACACGAAGCCGACCTCCTGCTGTATTCCGTCTTCTTCCTCTCCTTCTACCACTGGTTCTGGTACGACTACCGCGGCTACTACTACTATTATTTTTATTACTCCTACTACTACTACTACTACTACTACTACTACTACTACTACTACTACTACTACTACGACGACTACTACTACTACTACTACTACTACTACTACGACTTCTACTACTACTACTACTACTACTACTACTACGACTACTACTGCTACTGCTACTGCTACGACGACGACTACGACTACTACCACTACTTACTACTACGACTACTACTACTACTACTACTACTACTACTACTACTACGACTACTACTACTACTACTACTACTACTACTACACTACTACTACTACTACTACTACTACTACTACTACTACTACTACAATACTACGACTACTACTACTACTAACTACTACTACGACGACTTACTACTACTACTGCTACTACTTACACTACTATACTACTCTACTACTAGACGACTACTCGACGACGACTACTATACTACTACATACATACTACGACACTTCCTACGACTACGACTACGTACTACTACTACATACTACTACTACCACTACTACTACGACTTCATACTACTAATACTATACTACGACAGTACTACTACACTACTACTAATACTACTTATTACTACGAATACTTACTACGACTACTACTACGGACACTATTAGTACTACTACTACTACTACACACTTACTACTATGACAAATACGACTACTACTACGTCGTTACGGACTACTACTACTACTACTACTACTACTACTACTACTACTACGACGACTACTACGACGACTACTACTACGACTACTACTGCTACTACTACTACTACTTCTACGACTACTACTACTACTACTACTACTACTGCTGCTACTACTACTACTACTACTACGACTACTATTACGACTACAACTGCTACTACTACTACTACTACAACAACTACTACCACTACCACTACTACTACTACTCCTACTTACTACTACTACTACCACTACTACTACTAATACTGATACTACTACTACTATACTACTTACTACTATTACTACTACGACTACGACTACTACTACCACTACTACCAGTACTACGACTACTACTACTACTACTGCTACTACTACTACTACTACTACTACTACTACTGCTACGACTACTACGACTACTACTACTACGGCGACGACGACGACTACTACTACTACTACTACTACTATTTTTACTACTACTACTACTACTAAAGCTGCTACTACTACTACTACTGCTGCTGCTACTGCTGCTACCACTACTACAACGACTACGGCTACGACTACGACTACGACTACAACTACGACTACCACTACAAATAATACTTCTAGTACTACCACTACTACTGCTACTAATACTACTACTACTACTCTTACTACTACTACTACTGCTACTACTACTACTGGTGCTGCTGCTACTACTACTACTGCTACTACTACTACTACTACGCCTTATACTACTACTACTACGACTTCTACTACTACTACTACTACTACTACTGCTACTACAATTACGACTACTAC